TTTCATATATTTTATGAGTATTTTTGAAGAACCAGCTGCTGACTTTGTTGATCTCTATTGTGTTTTCTACTTTCGAGGTTGCTCTTACCTTTAGTAGTTCCCTTTTGTTGTTGTTCCTTTTGTTATTGTTTAACTTCATGTTTTGAATGACTCATTTTAGTCTCTCTTTCCTAATATGCACATTTCTAGGCATGTCTGCCTGTATGTTCTCTAAATACTGCTCTAGCTGCATTCCACATATTTTAATAGGACTTGACAGTTTTAAATAATTTCCATGACTTTTTCCCATGACTAATTAGAAATCTGTTTATTAATTCTCAAATATATGGAGCTTTCCTAAAGATGCCTTTTATACTGATTTCTATCTTAAATCCATTGTGGTCAGAGAATACTGTCTGTATTGTAGCAATTCCTTGAAATACATTGAGACTTGCTTAATTTGCAAGTACAAGGTTTTCATATTTTTCCATATGTGATTGGAAAAATACTGATAATTTGGGGATATAGTATACACACAGTGCACACAAACATGTATTTCCAGTACTTCAATATTTCTACATATTTCCTGGTATTTGTCTGCTTGCTTCATTAATTACTGAGTGATGTATGATTTTGAATTGCACTTTCTTTTGTTGCTCATTTTTCTTTCATATCCTTATGGCGATTGTTTTAAGTGCATACCAATTTAAAATTATTTCACCTTCATGAATAACCTTTTATTACACAAAGTGATATTTTCTATTAATGCTCCTAAATACACTTTACACTTGAGTCCTTTTTTAGGGTCTGCTTCTTGGGGGAATCTAAACTACGACAGTTTCTCTCTCCTGGTATGTTGTAGCACCACAAAGCTAAGACTCCCACGTGTGGTAAAGTATTATTGGGCCCATGAGGAAGGGGATACACTCACTTACGTAATCTCTAGAATGATAGAGAGATGGGGTGGTGTTAATTATAAGGATTGTGGAATAGGTTGGTTGTTGCTAAGTGCAATCAGTGCAAGGATGGAAGGCAACATCAGGCTCAACTTAGGGCATGGTGTCAAAGGATTCCCTGGCATCTAAAGTGATCCTCAGCTCATGCAGCTAGAGGACAGACTGCTAAAAGCCAAGCTAGAAGTTACAAATACTGAATTGACAGCCCTCACAAGTATCCTGTTAAAGTCAGGCACTAATAGTTAAGGGGTGGGACCCTAGACATGGGGAGGGAACATCTGGATAGAAATGCTGAGAAGTCTGAACTTCATATACTTCTGAACCCTCTGAGTTAGTGGTCCACTCCCTCCTGCAGATGGATAACAGGCTTCCTTGCTTGGAGACCATGTCAAGGCCTCAAATGAAATGAATGCCCCCCAAGATGAAGTGCTTTCCTCCTCCAAGGCCTGTCCCACCTCCTGTTGTTGCGTCTAGACCAATTACTAGGGTAAAGCCTCAGCATGGTCCAACTGTGGAGTTGGGTCCTTGCTTCAGGAGGAGAGGGATCATCATCAAGACAGCTGCAGGATTTGGCTACTCTTCTCAGCAGGAATTGGAACATGCCTGGGAATGAATCTTGAGGACATGACACTAGACTAGATTAGGGATGGTTTATCAGTATGTGGGATACTCTTCTACAATTCAGGATTTAACATCCCAGCAGAAACCTGAAGCTGATACTAACATGCTGCTGGATAGCTCCTTGAAGTTTGGAGGGAATGATGGTCTACAGTAAATGAGGTGGAGATGCTGGAACTGCCCTGCAGAACAGAGGCAGGGCTCAGAAAGTTCAAAGTGGCAATGCTCCTGAGATGGATTTCTAATTTCTGACCAGAACACCCATTACCTATGTGCCAAAGACATTTCCTTCACTAAAACCAGAGTGAATGCACTAGTGAGTGGGCTGTGCTGTTGGGAAACAGAGTTGAAAGGTTTCCCTTGTGTGAATGGACGACAGGAGTCTGGAACAGCAGAGGCCAGGTGACAGCACTTAGCTGTCAGAGGCAAGATAGTTATTACCATAATAGGTAGCAGGGAATGGCAACCAAGGATGCAATCCCACAGGGATCTGTGGAGATGACAAGATAGGGATAAGGTAGATGGGCAGCTTGACTGTTCTAATAATAAAATATTAAGATCAGGTGAGATGTTAGCTGTCAGCTGCTGCAGCAAACATATATATATATATATATGTAAAATCACCATTTCTCATTCATCCTTTCAAGATCTAAGCCTATTCTCGGACCCACAGACCACGATCAAAGGAGAGGCTGGGGCACTTGAAGAATGATACTAGGATGCCACATGAGGGTATTAAAGGGATTTTTAACCATTTGCCAGTGTCTATACATTGAAGAAAGGGAATCATGAGTATCTTTTTAGGACTACTGGATGTAGAACCTTGCTTTTTGGCTTAAGATGAGATTTGAGAACTTTTTTCTGTAAAGGTACAGATAGTAACTATTTTAGGTTTTGTGAGTTATAGGATTTTTCTGCAAAAAAATCCACTGTGCCATTGTCATGTGAAAGCAGCCACAGACAATAAGTAAACAAATGGCTGTGTTCCAATAAAACTTCATTTACAAAAATAGGCAATGGGCAAGATTTGGCCCATGGGCCATAGTTTCCTGGCCTTTGGCCTTGGACATGATCAATTTTTATAACAATTCTGTATGCACTTGAAAATAATGTAGTCTCCAATTTCAGGCTTCGTTACTTTGTATTTTATATTAGAACAGCACATTAAATTATGCTGTTCAAATTCTCTCTTACATTTTTGGGGTCTGCTTTATCTGTAAGTAACTGAATGAGTTTAGAAAACTCCCACTATGGTCATTTGTCAAATTTTGCTTTATATAATTTGAAGCTATGTTATTAGGTGCCTACAAGTTTAACATCTTTATTCTTCCTGGTCAGCTGAAACCTGTGTCTTCTTGAAGTAATCTTCATTAACTCTAGTAGTAATTTTTCCCTTGAGCTATACTAGTTTGAGGTTAATATGGCTACATCAGCTTTATTTTGGTGTTTTGATAGTATACATTTTTCATTCTTTCATTCTGTGCCTTTATATTTTGGTTAGTTCGTTATTAATAGCACAGGGCACAAATTAAAAATCTGAGCTTCTTGGAAACCTAAGCAAGTGGGAAAATATTTGCTGAAAAGATGCAGTCAGGTAATCAGCAGCCTATCTGTTACTTGTGATAACCTACTTAAAATCAGGTGTATGGGGCGTTATGGGGCATCACACGGTACAAGGGAGGCTTTGAAGGCAATTTTACCCACTAACACCCCAGAGGCTCACACATTATTGGAATTTTATCAGTTGCTCACACTGATTACTTTATAACTATATGGCTTCCAATAAGTAGTAGCTATTTATATTAGTACCCTGAAGCAATAAGGCAGGAAGAATTCAATAGTACCCTGGAACATTTTAGTACCCTGAAGCAATATGGCAGGAAGAAATGACTAGGGGTTTCCAGCAAAGTTGCTTGTTCCTTGATCATACCAGAACCTTCTTGTTTGCTCCTCTAGTCTCTTTACTCAATGATGTTGTTTTACCTAACGGGTCACTCTCTCTGCTGAACTCAAGGTGACTGGAATCCTAGGCACTAACAAAGGATGTTTTTGAGGTATTAAAGTACCCTGTTTTAGGGGAGGAGGTAGAAAGGTGTCATGAGCAGCTGCACCAGAACTGCAAGGAAGGAGGTGCTTTCACCTCTAAATTCTTGCCACTTACCAGCTTGTATGACCTTAACAAGGGTCTCTACCATCTCTAAGGCTTCAATTTCCTTATGGAAAAATTAGAAATGATTCCTCTTTTCAAGAGTATTTGGGTTAAAGAAAACGGTGAAGATGCTTGGCATAGGACTTCAACAAAATGCTAAATCATTTCCTTCCCTCTGCTCTGAGCAATTCACTGGACCATGGCATTCCTCTCAAATGGTGCTTGCTGAAAATCATCCCTTTTCAAAGGGGCAGGCAAGTTATTTCTCTGTTCATGTTCCCCTCCAGAGCATGCTTCTTGGGATTTCAGGCAGGCTTTGCCTCAGACTTCAAGGAAATATGGAGAAGCAAGACTTTCTGAGATCTAGTTCACATAAATGAAGGATCCCAAGGTACATTTGAGTCTCACTATCAGAAGTCCAAGATAATCATTGTTTAAGAAAGTTCTTTGCCCCCAAGCCAGATTTCTCCTCTAGTCTTGAGCTGCTTCCACAGTGCAGTGAGCCAAGATGCAGGGGCCAAGAGTGCAGGCTGAACTATCAGAGTGACCTTCTTTAAGGCTCCACAACATACTAGTCATGACTTTTAATAAGCTATCCTTTCCTTTCTGGGCCTCAGTTTGGGGGAATGATGTCACTGGAACTATAGTGAGAATTTTAAAGTACAATGTATATATACATTGTACCAACACACTTGGCATGGAGCCCAGCATACAGTAAACACTTGGGGAATCCAAAGTTTTGTTAGGCACCTGTGCTGCATACCCCTGAATCATGAACCCCATGGTGATGCTGAGGACAGGGGTCGGGAGGAGTTATTGCTCAATATGCAATCCAACTCCTGAGAATTTAAGTACTGTGTGGGAAAGAGCCATGCTGTACAGAGATGTACAGCCATCTCTGTACCCCATCCTCTGCTCTATCCCTCATTCCTGGCATGTGCCCAACAAGTTGGGTTAACAACGACAAAAAACACTCTGGTTGGGCTGGTGTGCTGAGGCCCATGGGACTTGGCTTCTCAGGGTAAGTCTGGGATCCACAGACAAGCCATTCTGCAAAACTTATGTCAATTTTAATGAAGCACTAAAGAGTGAGACAGGCAGGGGGATTGATTGACTTGTGGGTATTTTTTAAGAAACCCTGTTAGATATAACACCTAAAGTTCCAATTATCAAGCTTGGTGGACACCTTCAAAAGGATGAAAGCTGCAACCTCCTTTACTCTGTCCTTCATATAATCACTCAAAATACATAAAGCACATTTCATTCCTAACAACATACACTTTGGCAGATAAAAAAGGTGACCCACACTTTCATTTTCTTTATTTTTCATTGATACCGTATGAATACAAAGTTTCTAGAAAGCTACAAAATGTCTACCACTTTATCAAGAAGGCATCAAAATGTGTCACTTTGCAAAGACATGAAAACACCTGCAGGAACTGACACAAAAATAGCATTTTTAGAGTGATGAAATAATTGCACTTAACTGTCATGGGTATTAAAGTTATCACACATATGTACCGCAAAAGCTAGAATACATTTTTTTTTTTTACAAAGCACTTTATAAAAAAATTCTCTGCACACAAATCCTATAATTTTCATATAACTATCATACTAAAGATAAATTCACTTTAAAGCCAACACTTAGAACATTTTAAAACAAAAAGGTACCAGTACCTAAACACAGACGTTAACAAATACGAGAATACTGTACTGCCAAGAGGTTTAATCAAATGCCTTTTGAAAGTTTCTGCAAATAGGTTAAGAAAACATGTGTGAGAATTTGCCCACGCCCACCCCCATCTCTCCAATCTACCCATGAGGAACCCGGTTACCCGAAGGCAGGTTCCACAGCCCACTCCCAGCAGCAGTACAATATCAAAGGAACCACTGACCAGATGAAACGCTTACGTCACAAGCCCATTTTATACACGTGACACGAAGACACAGACCGTGAGAATCCCATTAAGTCACTTAGAATGTGAACAAACACACGTGGCAAAAACCGATTTACATAAAATTTAAGTGTATTATTAAAGAATTAAAGGCTATTCAGGTTTCTTTTTTAAATGTTACAAATTTTTTTTTTGTCATTTTCAGGCACGTACTGTTTTTTACTTTTTTTTTTTTCTTGTCTGCAGTCATGAGCCTATTGAAAAAGGCCTACAGAAGTAAATCTTTCAAGGAGGTAATAGGGAGATGTATTTTTTTTTAAGAAGTGCAGTTGATATCTAATTTACACAGTGAAACTAATGACAAAAAATGACTAATGAAAAAAAAATCAGAGACTGGTTTCCAACTGATTGACACCTAGATCTGTCAGCCTCTCTTAGAGAAAGGGGAAGGAGAAAAAATCTCATCATGGAAGGCAGACAAAAGAGTCCACCTGACAGAGGTGGAATCTGATGGAATCTGACCCCATTTCATGATAAACGAGAGGAAACATAAATGCCATCTCAAATACTAAAGCGACGTAGTGTAGCATGAGTGACTCAATGCAAATTCACAGAGTAAAAGAAGTTACGGCTTAGGAAGTAGGACAATAAATACAAATATTTCATCTTATTTAACGGTGCATGACTTCAGTGAAACTACCCTTTGCAATGCAATAAATTTTAAACACAAACCTTCATTCTTAACAATATAAGCAATGACTTTAAGAGAGAAAACTACTGTCAAACAAAGCACAGTAACAGTTGAAAAGAGAAGCAGGAAAACAAGCATTTGACTAATTTCTTCCACACTGTGGTATAGTGCTGGCAGGGAGGAGTTGAGAATTCCAGCAGCTAACTATAACTTAGGTTGAGTACATTTTCTGTTCGTTTGATAGTTTTTGTTTGTTTGCACAAATTTCTATAAATACTCACAACTTGGAGTGGATAAGAATCACTCCTAAAATTTCAGAGCCCAGAGAGGACATTCTTAAAGACACCAGGTAGAGACACACAGAACGTATGTATGAAGAGTTTCGAGGCTAACTTTCAAAGATGTCTGATGTTATTTTTACATCTATATTAGCAAAGAAAAATCTTTTTTTCCTGGCTTCTTTTTGGCTGGTGTTTGGCCTTCTTGTCCTTTTCACTCATCTTTCTTACCTCTATCAGCTTTCCCAATTTCTACAAGGTTTGATAAAAGCCAACAAGGACTTTAAAGAGTTGCCCCTTTGAGGGCTGGAACATGCTTTGAAAATGCCAAATTGTGAATGGTGCTCTTTGGAAGTTCCTTGTAGCACATTCATACACACTACTCGGAGTCAACATGTTTGCCCTAAGAAGAACACTTCAATTGTATCGACCCTAACTCACTTTTGTTTTGTTCTGCACTGTCGTCTCAGTTTGAGGCTTCCAACTTTCAAAATGGTATCATTGTGTAAACCAGATAAGTGCGCACTGTCATTTGAATGGAAAAGAAAGTCTCCACAGAGACTGAACACGAACACGAGGAGGAGGAGAAAGCTGTAATATCTGTCCACCGGCCAAGATTCTGTCGTTTGTGCGGAAGTCCCCTCATCCGGACGCAGGGCTGGGTGACGAGGTGAAATGACACACTGGGTCATCAGCACACACAAACACAACAGTTTCTGGGGTCCTTCCGCTGCAGTGTGCTATGGATGTTGGAAGGCCCCCACTGGCAGACAGACTAGCAGCAGGCGGGGACCACGTCGTGCTCTTGTGAACAGAGGCCTGTGGTTGGTTACTCATCCCGGTAAACCAAAGGCATTATGGTGATCTCAAAATATTTTTGGTCTCTCTACAAATTATCGTTATTATGGCAGCACTTTTCTAAGCTGGAATCTCAAACCAAAGGCACTTTCATGCTAGAGTGCAGAAGATTCACAAATAGCTAAGTATTTGGTCATAAATTTAAAAGGCAACATTAAAAAGTACAATTTGCTTTTCATAGTAAACTATGAAGTTGCAACCTTTTGTTTTGGTATATACATTTGAGAGTGTGGTGAAAGAACTGACTTGTGTCCAGTTTCAGATTTTAGACCAACTAGTCAGTTTCCTATAGAACTGGAGAATAAATGGGCTTACAAACAAAAATGAAGACAATTTTTGCTTGTTTTGTTTCCAATATTGGGCCAATTAGTAAATGAACATTAGGAATCGGTGTAAGAAAAGGCTGGCGGCATGACTAAGGTATTACTAAGGCACTGCTTACGGGAACGCTTTGGCAGCTCTGAATTGAAAACTTCCTACAAAAGTAACAGTAGTAAGAGAAATGCTTCCAGCTTACAAAAGGGCTCACAGTTCCGAGGCAGCCTTTTGCACTGCATACCCTACATGCAACATCTTAAAGATTTAAGGCTTTTCAGAAATGCCATGTGCAGGGCTTTGCCACAGAAACACCAACATAAAGAAATAAGCAATGCAGACATATCCTCCTAATGTCACAGGTGTGAACACCGACAAACAGAATTAGTTCTACCCTTCGTTAGTTCAGGTATAGTGTACCAGAGCATATACAAAATTATACAAATTAATATGTACCTGGTTTGTAAAATTGACTGTCATCTCATATGATTTAAATAATTTATAGTTGCACAAAAACAACTGCTAAAGCCACCACAGTACTGAAACCTTAAGAAGACTTGGGTTTAAAAGTCATTCGGGGACTTTTGACACCAAGTACTTGGAACGGGGGCTGTTTTTTGGCTGGTCTGAGTGCAGGACTTTGCTGCTAGGATGCTTACCAAATAGAAATTTGACTCAGAGCCTGAGGCTGGGGAATTGTTCTCAGGAAGTAAAATGGCTCACCAGCTCTCCTACCTGCTTGTGGATGCCTCAGACAGCAACAGTCAGACAGGACACTTCAGTGTGGGAAGCAGCATCCTGTGAGGCTGTGCTCCAGCACAGGGAGATCCTCAATCTCCCAGTCTCTTCTAAGCTGACCTGTCCACACACTCTGAGGGGTTGTTGAAGCTTAGAGCAGCGAAGAAAAGCAGCCTCTCCCAGGAGAGGCCAAGGATCAAACTGGCAGGAACCCTAGACAAGTCTCACCCTTTTTCTGTCACTAACCAGCTGGGTGACTCTAAACATGTCACCTCCCCTCTGGGCCTCAACTTTCTCATTGACAAAATGAAGGAGAGTAGACTGTGCTTTCAGCTCGAGAGAGAAAATTTCTCTAAGTCCTCTTCCTCCATCTCTAAAGGTGAAATGTTCCAGGGGTTTCAATATATTTACAAAACAGTATTGATTGTAAGGCAGAAACTGGAAGAAGCCCAGAGGAAATATGCTGAAGTAAGTAAAGGTTTGATAATGAGATCCATGAGAAATAATGAAAATTGCTGAGACCTTTTTTTTTTTTTTAACCCCAGTAAACTAAGGATAAAGGTCAAATCAGAAACACTCTTTAAACAGGTGTGAGGTGATTAAAGGGATGATGGTGACCAGCTGTCACCAACTTCCCCACTGCTGAGTGAAAGAATACTTGTAGCGAGAGAAATTGTTGGGAAACAAAAGTTTTGAAACAGGAAGAAATATGGACACAATGTCACTTAATAGTCCTACCTGCCTCTTGCAAGGCTCTGGGAGAGATGCTTTCACGGGGTAAAATGGAAGGGAAAACAATTTCAAATGTGGTCATTGTGACCTGTAACATCTTAGACAACAGGTCTTGACTGGAGATCATTTTGTACCTGATGGGATATTTGGCAATGTCTGAAGACACGCTGGGTGGGGAAGAGGTGTTAACGGTACTACTGGGTAGAGGCCAGGGATATTAGTAAATCTCCTACAGTGGAAAGGACAGCTCTGCAGAACAAAGAATTACCCAGTCCAAAATGTCAATGGTGTCAAGGTTGAGAAACCCTGGTCTCAGGTAGCTTGGACATTCTGAGGTTCTAGGACATGTGTAAAGAAGTCCTGGTTTTATTCTCAGCCTCTCTCTATGATGGAAATGAACGCCCACAGACCAGAGCCCCATTCTGCAGCTCCTCCCTGTTTAGGCTGTGGAAAACTGGCCTCCAAACTCTGCAGTGAAAGAAAGCACAAGATGGCCGTGAAGCAAGCCTGGCACCAGAGGGTCTTGAGGGGATAGAGCATCTGGAAGAGAAGTGAGACAAGGCTCTGCGAAGGCTTCTTTAGTATGCTTTAGAAAGCTTTTATAAACAAAGGGAGACTGCCATACAGAATGAAGGACAAAAGACAGCCTCAGATTAGATGTTGTGATGCCAATCTCACCCAAAGGTCTAATCTGACAGAGTCAAAGAGAAGCCCACTGGGGTGACTGGACCAGTGGTTAAGATAGGGAAAATATCTGTCCTGAAGAAGGCTTTAGAAGAAGACGACAAGAAGTAAACTTTTAAAAATCTTTAGAAATGTTGTAAGAGCAAGGAGTAAACCTCAAGGTCAACCACAGAAACCCAGAAAACTCAAATGCAAAGGCATTCTGAGCAAGAGGATGCAGGTGGTGAAGCACCAGGGGCCCCGCTGACCCTGTTAGGTCAGCAGACTGGGCTGTGTCCGTCTCTGCGCCAACAGAGTTTTCCTCTAGCTGGTCTTCCTGGGTCCCAGTATTTTTGTGCTTTGGAAAGTAAATCCCAAGAGCCCTCCTGGCTGCAATGAAAAGTCCCATTCCTGGGTAGAATATGAAACAGATATCTCTCCCACTGAGGTTCTAGGATAGCTTGGCTTTTAGCCATTTGTGCTCGCCTGGTCATATACTCCTGGTCCTGGGAGAGGATGGGGCTTCCCTTAAGGAAAGATGCAGGAAATAAGAGCAAAAGAAACATCCCTAAGAGGAGTGTTCAACAGAAGTCATTGTAAATGTGGCGACCGTGAAAGGGGACACTTGGCACAATCCTTCACAGGCCAGCCTGGAATCAGGGAACCAACAGTAGTCTCTTTATGAAGGGCAGAGTAGCACTGTCCAACTGGTTTCTAGAAGGAATGGGCATTCCAAATGGGGACAGTTTTGCACTTTCTCCTCTTGTCTTCCCAGTGACCAGGGATGCATTTGGGAGAGGTCAGTGTTTTGCTGTTTCCCACAAGCCAGCCACACCCTCATGTTTGGAACCACGAGATGCTGACCGATGTATTAATACAAGCAGGGTCAAAGCAGGTGTTGAGACAGGGAAGGGGGCGTGTAAGTTAACTGGATGTGGTAGAACTAAGTTTATTTTCTAGCTTGGTGAAAAAATCTTGACAAGTTTTACAAGTTAAAAAACTTGTTTCATGTTCTATTGTGTGCACATGTTCCTACCACTTATAAAAACATATTTCTTTGGGAAGTTGGAGGAGTACTCCTTGTTCTCTCCCAGTGAAACACTTATGGGAAATAACTCAAAACATCTGGCCACATCAAACCAACTCTGCCTGGGCAATGCTCTGGAATTCTTAGATCGGAAAGTTGAATTTCTCCTGGCAAGAGAATCTCCCAAATGAGCCTATTTGAAAAGGTCAGAGATAGGTAGCTGGGCCTCTTAAACCTAGGCCAAACAAGAACTGTAACTTACTGAGAGAGGCTAAGGAAATGGATGTGCTTCGAGAGGATGTATCTAAGTCTACAGACACATTAAGATATACATACGTATCAGCACCTAGCAAACTGAGTGACACTAAACAAGTGTTCACTAAATGTGTTGAGTAATTCTATATGTGCATTTGTGTTTATGTATACACATACATACACATATAGCTCTAGTTATAGGTTAATATGCATATTGGGTCATTAGAAATAATGTGTCCACAGGCTGGTGAGGATGCTTACAATTTTCTGGGGAGCAGAGATGCTAAAACTGATGAGCCTTTTACTTGTCTGTTTGAAGAAATTTTCTCCCAGCCACAGGATTCTGTATACTTTGCCTCGCACAGTGCAGTATTCAGTATTGATGCCAATTTAAAAATTTTGTTATTAAAATTCAGTGGTTCAAATATTTACTCATCTTAATAAAAAATTTGGTTGTCCATATAAAATATAACTGCACAAACAAGACTATAAACATTGTAAGTTTAGATTTTTCAGTATCTACTTATTGCAAAAAGAGCCATCTTTTCTTTTTCATTAAATAATCAATCATCACATTAGTACAATACAATTTTATATTTTTTAAATATACTATATATGTTAAGGATAAGGGGTGAAGTTTTCTTCCTTTGTAATACCTGTTCAAGAGTTTAATGGATTAGGAGATTAGTGTTAACCTTGAGGAAAAAAGTACAAATTTGTCTCATTAGGACACTTCTACCAAGCATTTCTTAAGGCTATAGTTTAACATTTGGTTTCAAAAAGAAAAAAAAGGTTTCATTTAAAAAATAATTTAGTGAATTACATTCTTTCATAACTTCCACCCTAATTAGTTACAAAGATAAGTCTAAAGATTCTTAGTTTTGTGTACTAATTTACATTTATATTTAAAGATTAATTTTACTTGTATCTTAAAACAAGAATTTTATGTTGGAAAAAAGAGAACTAAATACATTTGTATAAAGGCTGTAAATGTCCCATGGCAAATGCTCTGTCTCAATATTTTCTACCACAATTAGAAACAGGGCTCTGCAGAGAGAGACTTGGGTTGTTCAGGTTCACCTTTCCCGAGGAATTGTGGGCTGCACATCTGAAGAACATATAGAAACAACTCAATTTCTCTTTTTACAACTGTACCAGAACTTCACAGCTACAATGATAGTATGAACACATGAAAAAATGACTTCACTCAAACAAGATTTAGAAAAGTTGGGGTGACCTCGGGGCCAGGGCACCACCCTGTGTGGTGAGGTTTACAGTCAGTCGTTCGATAATGGAGAGAGAGTGTGTGTGTGTACATATGTGTGTGTGTATATACAGATATCTATATATATAAATAACCATGTTCAGTCCTTTACAAGCCTGTAAATATGATGTTGTGCTCCGTGTTCACTATTTGAAACTTCAAACACACAGGCCATGCAGAGGAGAGTTTCTTGTGTATCCCTGTTTGTTACCACCTGTTAAAATAAAAAAAAGGTATGTAAGTGTAATACTACACGGATGAAAACATATTCCATCTGTATGGACTATGGATGACTATGACTTAATTGGAGAAGAACGAGTCTTAAGTCCAACAGAGATTTGTTCAGCCTCGCTCTGTGTCCTCTAACACAAATTGTATTATTTTTTATTTGAATTTTTTAAATTGACGAGTAATAATTCCAGTCCCTACTTAAAAGAATAAAGTCTTGCAGTACATAGATTTATGGGCTACAATGTGATGATAGATGTATATACATTGCGGAACGATTACATCAGGCTAACTGACATACCAAGCACTTCATATACTTCTTTGTGATGAGAACATTTAAAATCTACTTTTTCCCATCCTAGTCTTAAACTTGCGCTAAATCTTGTTTCACAATAGCCAATAACAGACAGAAACTGCAGAAGTGCCTCCCTCACCACCATATTAACTAGCAGTGCCTGGACCCAGCAAAGTATCTGCTGAATCAGGGAACAGTGGGATAGGGAGAATCCTGTGGAATGACATTCTTTCCATGGACACGGGCTTTATCTCTCAAAATGTACTGTGAAATACTCGCGTTTCCCCTCGAGTCTCCTGAATCCCTCTAATTCTCCTTCAGATTTTGAGTTCTCCAGCCCAAATCATTGCAGCTTCCTCCACACCAGACAGACCCTGACTCCTTCCTGTCCTCACTCTGGTCTCAATTCCCCATGCTATTCTCAGAAGGAACTTTCTAAGAGCAAATCTAATCAAGTACAAACACCACCAAACGCTTCAGTGACTGTTACTTTTGTACTTGATTACACCAAAGCATTGTTTGAATGAAAACATTCTGAACTTGAGAGCCTCATCCAGTTTGTCATAGGCCTAATTTCCCTCTAAGTATCAGGCTGCTTCCCCTGTTTAGTTTCCCTTGCCCTTAAAGGCATCCTTGCTTCCTCCAGTCCCTACCTAAAGAATAAAGTCTTGCAGTACATCTCATTTTCCCATCACAGCATGCTATACAGTTGGTAAACACATATAGGTGTGAACAATTTTTTTTCTAATGTCCATCTCATCCAGCGGAATATAAGTTCCTAAGGAACAGGGGCTCTGTTTCCCAGCAACTAGTTTGAAGACATGGCACACAACAGTCATTTAATAAGTATCTGCTGGGCTGGGCGCGGTGGCTCATGCCTGTAATCCCAGCCCTTCGGGAGCTCGAGGTGGGTGGATCACGAGGTCAGGAGTTCAAGACCCACCTGGCCAACACGGTGAAAACCCGTCTCTACTGAAAATATAAAAATTGGCTGGGCACAGTGGTGGGAGCCTGTAATCCCAGCTACTCAGGAGGGTGAGGCAGGAGAATCACTTGAGTCTGGGAGGCAGAGGTTGCAGTGAGCCGAGATTGCACCACTGCACTTTAGCCTGGACAACAGAGCAAGACTCTACCTCAAAAATAAATGAGTAAATAAATAATTGATGAATGAATGAAAATTCACATCAGAATAGCCAACAAATATTGAGTGCTTACTATCCATCTACTCAGTATCAAATGCTTTACACAGATTGTCTCATATGATATTATAATACCTCTAGGAGTAGGTGCTCTTTGACAGGGAAGGAGCTGAGAGGTTTGTTTGGTCATGGTTGTGTATTCACCATGCAGATAGCTCTCAATTGTTTCTTCCTCAGGAAGCCTTACTCAGCTTCCTCCTGAACTAGGTCAAATTCTCCTGTTCTACAAATGCCCCATGTCCCTCTGCCAGGTAGCAAGAGCTACAGTTTTCATTTATTTTGTGATGACTTGATGCATGCCTGCCTCCTGCATCAGACCCCAGGATGGCAGCCAACCTGCCTAATTCACCACAGCACCCCAGCCCTGGCACCTAAGTATGCACCCATGGGATACCCCTATTCTTAGTAATCAGAAAGATGTCTGCTTATCCATCGAGGCAACATCCCTGAGAATCCCTACCTCATCACTCTGCACTTGAGAGGTACCTGTTTCATGAGTACACTACAGCCATCATTTCCTTGCAATGGTTTATTTACCTGCCTCTTTCGTCCTGAAGCACCATGAATTACTATATGACAAGTACTGGGTTTTATCTGCATTGTATCCCAGAAGGCGGTACCATCTGTCATAGCTTAGCTGAATTAAAATATTTCAATGATAACCTTTGAGGTAGAAAGTGCAGACTTGAGTGTTCTGTTTATAAATGAAGGTGAAACTGATGTCTGAAGATTAAGTGACCAAGGCCATAAAGTCTTAAACTCAAGTCTTTTCATTTCATGACCATAAGATACCTTGCAAAGTCTTTTCTATCCATTCAAGTCTTAATTTATTTCTATCACTGGCTCTGTGACCTTGGGGTGGCCTGACATTCTTTATCCATAAAATGAGAATAAAAATGACCTCATAGTCTGAAAGTGAGATTTGCATAACATTTACAAAGGGTCTAGCACAGCACCTGGCACTTCTACAATCTATGCAAACTTCTTGCAAGCTTTCTATAAAAGAATACAGTTGGCCCTCCCTATCTGCGATTCCACACTTGCAGATCCAATCAGTATCAGACTGAAAACACTTGGGGAGGAAAAAAGACATAATAAAAATAATATAACAATAAAAAGAATAAAAATTTTAGATAAAACAACTATTTATATAGCATTTACATTGTATTTGGTATTATAAGTAATCTAGAGATGATTTAAAGTATAAGAGATGATTTGTGTAAGTTATCTGCAAATACTATGTCATTTTATGTAAGGTACAATTTCTCCTGTTCATCAATTAGATGATTTTATTTTCATAATCCAAGAGTGCTGGCTTAATTTCAGTTTTTCTAAAACTAAACTATTAATTCTAACATATATTTATTGATAGGTATTAATTCTCCATATTAAAGGAATATATTTAGTTGCTTAATGACACATTTTGAAATTAACCTGCTAAGTTATCTGGATGGCTGTATTGGTTGAAGTCGTATGTTTCAAGAGGCGTTAATGATATATAGTGACGAGTTGTTTAACAATGAGGACACTTTCTAATGTGTAATCAGGTGGTTTTGTCATGCGAACCAACAGCATAGAGTGTACCTACTCCGACCTTGATAGTACAGCCTACTACAACACCTAGGCTATATGGTGTAGCCTATTGCTCCTAGGTTACAAATCTGTATAGCATGTTACTGTACTGATTACTGTAGGCTAACACAATGGTAAGTATTTTTGTATCAAAACATACCTATACATAAAGTACAGTAAAAAGATGGTGTAAAAGGTAAAAAGTGGTTCACCTATATAGGGCACTTACCACGAATGGAGCTTACAGGCCTGAAATTTGCTCTAGGCGAGTCAGTAAGTGATGAGTGAATGGGAAGGCCTAGGGCATTACTGTACACTACTGTAAACATTTGTACTGTACACTTAGGGCTCAGCTAAATTTATTTTTTTAAATAATTATGCTATATTATATAATAGCTGCATCATCACTAGGTGACAGGAATTTTTCAGCTCCATTATAATCTTATGGGAGCACTATCATACATGCGGTCTGTTCTTCACGCTACTATGCAGTGCACAACTGTAGTCAGGTTCTATGGGTAACAGGGGCTTTAACACTTTTCCAGGCCACATTTATCTTAGCTGTGCTCTCTGAGGTAGAGTTTTAGGGACTGAGGACATACATACTTAGCATGCATAAACAGAATTAGAAGTGATTTTTAATAAACAGTTAAGACTCCCCCCAAGAGAGGCAGGGAAGCCATTCATTCAGGGTTTTGGTTAATTCCTGAGGCTACCTGAGATCCTCAACATATGTCACACTCACCTTCTACTCATCTGACTGCTAAAGTGATGCATCTATTCTTAGATAGCAACAGGGAGCACCTATATGGCAAGCACCTACTACCTGCCAGTCCTGCAAACCTTGAACTGCTCTATTTTCACCAAAGGGCCATTAAAGAAAGGAATACTGATCAATGTTATTGAAGAGCATGTATTCCAAACTTCCCCTGAGTGCTGGTTTCTATGTTTTAGAGGGACATGAGCACATCTGAGAATCCATTAAGATTCTCTTCTTGATACAAACAAAAATTATATACAAAATTATCTGTTTGGTAGTTTTATGCCAATCATGTGTCTGTGAACTCTGAGAGTCCTTGCGGCTCATTTCCCAATCTCTTACAGCAATGGGTCTCTACCTGGTTGCACACTACAACTACATGCAGAGCTTTAAAAATAAACAAACAAAAACCAGGATGCTGGGCCCCATCTCCAGGGATTCATTTTATTCATCTGGGATGGGGCCTAGGCCTTAGATGTTTTAAAGCTTCCTGGATGAATCTAATATGCACAGGGTTTTTTATTTTTAAATGTTACTTTTTTTTTTTTTTTTTTTTTTACAATGGTGTACAGAAGCTGGCTCCTACTGGCTCATAGGAGTTATTGTTAAATATTAAGAAATCTGATGAGCTGAATAGCTATCAGGAACTTCAAATTGCCCATGGAGAGCATATTTATACCACAGAAATAGGCAAAAGGTATAAACTAGGGTTTTGGGAAATTGGGAAAGAGCCTTTAAAAAGAAAAAGAACACTGCTGATTGAAAGCCACTGTCCCAATGGAACCAAAAACACCAAGTAAAGAATTCCTGCTCTATGTATTCTTCTTAATCCTAGTAACAAAAAGGAATAAAGTAGGCTTTCAGAGGAGTATTTGGTCACAGTATAGCCTTGTTGCCCCTCTTTTGCTAAGATTGTTTCCATCAAGTTTTGTTTTGGCATTTTCCCTTTAATCAAGTAATGTTATTTTTTTTAATGAGTCTTATGAAACCCATTACTGAATATTTTCTATTTTGAGCATGACACTGTTCCTAATAGCTTCCGAAGTCCCCAAATAAAGCTCCCAGAAGAAATTTGTTTTAAAGTTCAGTATTAGGGGAAAACACAGAACCATCCAGGGGCACTGGTGAGTTTTCCCATCATGGACCTTGAGCACTATTTTCCCTTTCCTTTAGCTGCCCATTAAGTTTGTTTTGTCTGTTTTGAGATGGGGTGTCACTATGTCACCCAGGCTGGTCTCAAACTCCTGGGCTCGGGGGACCCTCCCACCTTGGCCTCCCAAAGTGTTGAGATTAGAGGCATAAGTCACTGCACTCAGCCTAGCCAGATTTTTTAGCCTATGAAGAACATTTTCCTCCTCCTGGTCATTGCATTCCATGCATTCTATTCTAATCTATATTTCTTCTGGTACTGAGAGCTTATATTTTCTTGCTTTAATGCATGTAACTTCTTAGAAGGCCTTGGAAGTCCATCATGGAATGTGTCAAGGTATGTCTGAAGTACAAACCTACCAACTCAGCTTTTGTCTGATTTGCATACCATGTTGCTGTTGAGACTAAAACTTGGCTAACGTTGAAATTACCTGTGGAACTTAAAAAAATACACATGCCTGGGTCCCATTCTCAGAGATCCTGATTTAATTGATCTAGGATACAGTCTGAGTATCTGGATTTTTAAAAGTTCTCTAGGCCTTTCTACTCTGTAGCCAGAGATAAAAACACATCACTTTTTATTACCCAACTGAATTCCAGTTCTGTGAACCTCAGAAACCCCAGCCACATAAAACCCCTTCTCTTCTACAGACTCAAGCCCAAGTTTTCCCTATGGAGGCTGCAAATTCAACTGCTGACTGACCACCAGGAGCCCAATCCAACAGCCTGGTCAGTTCCCTCGGCACAGGCCCAGCACCTCCCAGGACCACCTTCCTCACTTCTGTCAAGCCTCGTGGCAGCATCTGCCCACACAGGAAAGAGACAAAACCATTACCAATAAAATTGTGAAGTTTTCCAAAACACTGTTCATCATATATTTCTCTGGTAAGTGTTTGAGCTTGTGAATGAAGTTGATCATATATTCACACATTGGGGAGCGGTTTATTCGGTATACAAATCGGCCATTCTCAAACCTTGCATACTCCGTCTGTGAGGAAAAAAAGATTTGAGTATTTTTACACTTTTGACTTCAAAACACATGAAACAGATATTACTGCCTATAAAAAAGCCTTTTTTCAACATGAATCATCTTCTATATGCTATACTACTTACGTAATTTACTTAATTAAAAAGAAAACTATCTCCAAATTTGTTGCTATACATAGAATCCATTATTTTTCTGAAAGTTTAAAAAAAATTAGTTGGAAAGATGATAGCTTTAAGAAGAGTTGATAGATCCTTTTAGCAAAGGTCAGAAAAAAATATAACTGCCTAATTATGATGCTTTACCTGGAGGAGATCTGTAAAAGCAGGCCCCAGCTAGTTACAATTCTTCAAAGAAAATCTCTCTTTATTGTGATAAAGCCTCACAGGTTAACAACCAATACAGCTAATCTCTCTACTTTAGAAAAAACTGATTATTTCTCACAGATCATGAGCCCCTGAATGTCGGCTGTTTATGAAAGGAAGAAATTAAGAAAATACTAGTATATATGCTGTTTCAAGAACTCAGAAATAAGAAACAAGGTTTACTAGATAACCTTGGATCAAAAGGAATTAAGAAAATTACAAACTAAAGAGCAATGAAAAGGGAGATATTTTACATCAAAACGTATCAGCCACGATGAAGCTGCACTTGAAGGAAACTTAATGAAGCAGCCTCATATGTCTTCATCATTAAAGATAAAAATTTACAGAATAAAATACACATCCTTAAAAAATAAAAAATAAAAAAACCCAAACCACAAAGAAATCAAAGGAAGCCAGGAAAAGGAAATTAATAAAGATAAAAGCTCAAATCAATGAAATAGAAATGTAAAATGTAGACAGAATTAAAAACTGGTCCTTTAGACAGACAAAATAAACTCTTCACACATAAGTAAAAAGGAGAAAAAAGAAGTGGCAAAACCACAATTACAGTAAAAATTACAAGATACATAAAAGATTTCACATAACCCTAAAGCAGACACACACACACACACACACACACACACACACACACACACACACACACGGCGAAGCAAAGAAAACCCAGCGGATAGAGATGCTTTCCCAGAAAAATAAAAATATAACTTGCTAACACTGAATCAAAAAGAATGGGAAATTGTCAATAAATAGATCAGTCATTGTGGAAATGACCACAACTAACAAGTTTAGCTATTTACCATTGAAAAAAGGGGAAGCCACAATGGATATAAAATTTCAATTAGGAGAAACAAGCTCAAGAGATCTACTGTACAACAAGGTGACTATAGTTAATACCAAAAATTTATTCTCAAAATTTTATTCTCAAAAATTGCTAAGAGAAGATTTAAGTGCTCTCACCACAAAAATTGGTAAGCTATGTGAGGTAATATATATGTTAATTAGCTCGATTCAACCATTCTACTGTGTATACATATTTCAAAACATCATGTTATATACCATAAATGTATACAATTTTTATTTATCAATTAAAAATAAATAATTAAAAGTAGATGCTAAAAAACATATGAAGACCAAACAGTTTCAGGCCTAAGTTTTATGTAATCTTAAAAGAATAGTTATTTCCAGTGTTATTCTTTTTATGAAACTAGTGTACATTCAAGACTGAAATTTGGCAAAGAGGTTATTGAAAAAAGTATGTAACTGGGTATTGGCAGCTCACACCTTTAATCCTAGCACTTTGGCAGGCTGAGGTAGGCAGATCGCTTGAGCCCAGGAGTTTGAGACCAGCGAAACCACATTTCTACAAAACAATACAAAAAATTAGCCAGGCATGGTGGCATATGCCTGTAGTTCCAGCTACTCAGGAGGCTGAGATGGGAGGATTGCTCGAGACCAGTGAGGCTGAGGCTGCAGTGAGCCAAGATCATGCCACTGCACTCCAGTGTGGGTGACAGAGTGAGACCCCATCTCAAAAGAAAAAGAAAAAAAGAAAAAAGTATAGACGAACATTACTTATGAAATGTAATGTGAAAATTCTGTGTAAAATACCAGCAAATAGAATCCAACCATACATCCAAAGTAGGACTGTTTCAGGAATGCTGTGGTGTTTCATATACACTGAGGCAATGTATTAACTTGTTATGTCAACAACTTGGAAGAAAAATCATATAGCAACAGTTGCTGAAAAGCATCTGATAATGTATTGCAGCTGTAACTAATAAAAATCCTAAGTAAAACAGGAATAAAAAGAAAACATTTAAATTAGTAATAAATACCATTAATAAAAGCCTACAGTAAATATAATCCTAAAGGGCAAAACACTAAAACTTTTTCAACTAACATCAGTTAACTATACAAGGGTAACCCAGGAATCCGGGGGAAAAACTAAAGTTAAGTATGAAAATTTGCTAAAATGGCCATATTGAAGACAGAGATGCAAAACTAAGAGCTTTTCTCTATTCTATTAATTCAAATCTAGAAACAGCAAATTACAACATATTATATAATATTTAGAAATATATTTAACAAGAAAGAGACAAATCTGTATGATGAAAATGATAAAATCTTATTGAAATATATAAAATGAAATGAGAATGCAAATAGGTTCTTGATTGGAAAGATTTAGTATCAAATTCTCCCAAAAGGACATCTAAATCTGATGCAATTACAATTAGATTGCTCAAACAAGGTTTTCTTCTTTATATGTTTTAAGTGATTGAATTAATTGGAAGAATAAATGTTGGTTACTAGCTTAGAAAATATATGCAAAAGAAGAACAGTGAGACTGACTTGCCTCATCAAATATCAGAATATACTATAAAGCCACTGTAATCAAATTAACATAGTACTGGGATACGTAGAGACAAATAGTGGGTGGAATAGAACAGTGGGACTCCAGGAACAGCTCTCAGAATATATGGTAATTTAAAGCGGGCAGATCTGTTTAACTGGAAAAGAATGAATCATTTCATAAGTGGTTTTGATACAAATGCCTATTTGGAAGAAAATATTAAGTGGACTACTACTTCACACCAAATGCAGACATACATTCTAAATAGATAAAAGGCTTAAGTGTAAAACCCCACCTACCACACACACCACCTTCTCCATAAAAATTCCTGTGATTTTATCCGTCAAAAGCAATCTTTCCCTGCTCCCTGAATTTGCAAAGAGCTTTGGATGTATCATCTGAGGACACCAGTAATTTGACATTTGGGAAACTGAGTAAGCTGTCTGGTTCATCTTTTCTCAAATGCACCTGTCCAGGCAGGGAATTCCAACTACAGAGAACATCCCTGACAACTTAGCTATTGACTAACATTGCCTAACACACATCTTCCACACTCCCAATCAGCCACAGGTAATTTTGCTTCCTCCTTCTTAGAGGAGAGGAGGTCATCTGGTTCCAGGTGTCCCAGCCATGTTTCATGATACAGCCACCTTCTCACCTCCTGGGCTTTCCAGACATTATGTTGAGCCAATTCCCCTCCTCCCAACTCATTTTTGTCCTCTGCTCTTCTGTTTATGTCTCCCTCTACTTATCCTAGGGCTGGTGGCTGCTCCCCAAATTTAATCCTCATTCCTGTGCCCTTTCTATTCCCTCTCTGCAGCTAGGTCTCCATTCCTAATCCTTAATGCTCAGGATTCCCAATTCATATTTCCAGTCTTTACCTGTCATCCAAGTTCTAGCCTTGCACCTATAATCATTACCTATACCCTCTTGAACACCTTATTTCCTTATCTCTACTAGTGGCAGTACCATCCTTCCAAGCATAAAATGTGAGTGTGACTTTTGACTCTTCCTCCTCGTTAACATCCAGTTAGTTTCTAAGTTCCATTCAAAACGTCTTACTGGATTCCCACTGCCACCACCGTGGGAAAGCTCATGACCCCTAAGCTTAAATTGTCCATCTAAGTCAACTCCCCTGGATCCTCTTCTGCCAGCATAATCTTTCCTCAACCACATTCTCATAAGGCCTGTCCAGTGCTCAGGGGGTTTGTGCTATTGCTATGAGGGCCTGCAGCATCCCAAATCCTCATTGCTTAGCCCAGGGTCTTAAGAAATAAACCCTTCTCCCTCTCTTCCTCCTCAGCACAAAGTCTTTGTACAGCTAAGGTGGGCTCTTGAACCTGAAAGGTCCAGGGCCACTGGCTTACTGAACATGGATCAATTAATTGGGTGATGGGTAGAAGACACTAAAAAACACAACCTTTAAGAAATGCCAACAACAAACATTATTCTACAGAGCAACTCACCCTGATGAAACAAAAATACATCTTTTTAAAGGGAGGACGGTATGAAACATAAAAGCCGTAAAAAGATATTGGATCCTAATATATAATAAACCCTATCTAAAACAATTAAAGGCAAAGGCAGTGGAAATGGCAAAAGCAACAATATCCAACTCAAGCTGTCATGGTTTCAGAGGGTAGGTGCCAATCAGCTGAGTACCACCTTGACATCTATCTACAATGCCTGGGAGTGCCCTTGGACCTAGGGGTTAGGTGTAGAGAGGGCATCATTCTGAGTGGCAGGGCCTATCTCCACCCAGCTTTCATGCCAGGCTACCCCACAAGGCCTCACGCAGAGGTGCACAGCACTGGCTCAGCAGGGCACAGCCGACTCCAGACACAGTCAGAGGACTGGCACGGGACCTCCTATTTGCTTCCTTTCAGGTGCTTCCAAATCACTTTACCTTTTTAGAAGTAACAGGAAAAGAAGTGGGAGAAAGGAGGAGAGTGACATGGTTTGGCTGTGTCCCCAATCGAATCTCACCTCGAATTGTAATCCCCACATGTCAGAGCAGGGGCCTGGTGCCAGGTGATTGGATCATGGGGTGGTTTCTCCCATGCTGTTCCTGTGATACTGTGGGAGTTCTCACCAGATCTGATGGGTTAAAAGTGTGTGGTGGTTCCCACCCACCTTTCTCCTGCCGCCATGAGAAGATATGCCTTGCTTTCCCTTCACCTTCTGCCACCATGATTCTAAAGTTTCCTAAGACCCCCCAATCATGCTTCCTGTTAAGCCTGTGGAACTGTGAGTCAATGAAACCTCTTTTCTTCATAAATTACCCATTTGCAAGTAGTTCTTCATAGTAGTGTGAGGTAATACAGAAGGTAAGAAGGAGACATCCAAAAAAGTACAACTCTCTGCCCCAAGGAAGGCTTAAAGGAAGGCAACAGTCTGCCCTTGAAAGAAGTTTCCAGTATACAGAGGCCAACTTACCTCTACTTTTTCTACTACTTGCTTCCCAAAGGAGCAAACTTTGGTGGAACAGGTGACTGTCATATTTTCAGAACTCTCGTACTGACTGGTTACACCATAAAAAGCCCCAGCATCATCTTGAATATTGCAGTTTAAATCAGCCTGTTGGAAAGGAAATGGAGGTGTAGGTTATTCTCTCATCCCAGGAGTCACCGCACCGAGCAGTAACTTTCAGGGTAAGACATCCGCTTGGCTGAATGAAGTCGGCTGGCCCAAGGTGATGCTCATCTAGAAACAAATTCAATACTCATCTGTCATTTTTTAAAGAGGTTGCTGATTTGGGCAGTCCTCTCTTGAAATGACAAGCTACATGTATCAATTCTGTTTTACTTTCTTGCATTCAGTATCAGAATAACACTATGTCCTTGCAATAAAAGATCCACAAGGTCTTTGAAATATGCACAGAAAGCAGGATATTAATTGGATTCATATTCACTCATCTTTAAAGATATTAAAAAAAACCAGGAGACTGCAGCTGACTAGCCATTTGTCATACATGTACAAACAGAAACTTTCTTAAAAATTAGAATATCTGGAGGGGAAATGGTTCCTATTAAAGATTGACTTACAAAGATGTTAAATAATGAGCATAAGTTGCCATTCATTTAACACATTTTTATTAAGTACCTACATGAGAGGTTCATGCTAGACAATGTACAGGTTTTGCCTACAACTGGTTACATAAAATAACTATCATTCAGATAGAAAATAAGTATCAGGTCAAAGGTACTTAGAGTTCCAGCAATGGAAGGTATGACTTTCCACAGGGGCTCTCAGTTCAAGAATGATTTAGACTGGCACATGCAGGGAAGGCTGGGGGTACAGTACACAGGCCAAGGCCTGGAGTGCTGCATTCTAGCTTCTGTGCATGGATTAAGGACCTCAGACTGGGACTTTGGAAGTGCAGCTTGGGCACAGGTTATGGGGGCTAAAAAGGCAGTATAGATTGTATTCTGTAGGAAACAGATACCCCTTGAAAGCTTGGGTGCCCTTCAGACAGAAATGTCTTCAGCAGGATGCAGTGGCCATTGGAGAGGAGAAACTGGCTGCTGCAGCGTTTGATCACTGCAGTGGTCTGAATGTGCCCCCACTAAATTCATGCATTGGAAACTTAATCCCCAGTGCAAGAGTGTTGGGAGCTGAGGCCTTTTGGGATGGGTTTAGGTGTTGAGCCTCTGCTCTTGCATATGGGTTAATGCTGCTGTAAGTAGGGCTTTCAGAAGTAAGCTGGCTCTCTTTGGCCCTTCATCTGCCTTCCACCAGATGCTGCAGACTTGCTCTTGGACTTCCCAGCCTCTAGAAATGTGAGAAATGAATTTCTGTTCTTTATAAATTACCCCAGGCTGTGGCATTCTGTTGTAGCAGCACAAAACAGACCAAAGACAGCCACAGAGTAATAGCTGCCTTCCCTCAAATATCTACCAACCCCCTGCTCCGCATCAGGCACAATGCTCAGAGCTGGGGATAGAACAAGCAAAATCTGAGCCAGGACCTGCTCTCGTGAGCTTACAATTAAGCGAGGAACACACCACACAGAGCTAAGCACCAGGGAGAGAGGTACGGGGGGACATGAGCACAAATGGTGAGGAGTGGGCTCCCAGGGTCAGAGGCGCCTCTAATGATGATGCAACTCAGATCCCAAGAAAGACGACGAGGCTTAGGCAAGAGAAGCATTCCATAAGAGAGAAGAGGGTGTTCAAAGGGCACACAGCCAGAAAGACGGACTAAAGAGAAAGCAAGAGACAGAGGATGGCAGGAGAGCTGGAGAGGTGGGAGGCCTTGGGTCTAATATCCTGAGACCAAAGGACACAGTAAGCAGACAGTCCTGGAACAGTGACAGGGCACACCCAGCTCTGCTTTTCAAAAAGGCACCTCTGACCACAGCTCGAAGAAGACTCCAGAAGAGAGCAGAGAGGATGTATATATATACTAGGAGGCCATTATAGCAGTCCAAGCGAGAGATGATAAATGTGGGCTGCTGTGGTGGGTGTTGAAGCAGAGGTGCGTGGATCTGACACTCAAATGAGATTTTATATTTTGTGAGGTTTGGCACTATTTTTTTTTTTTTTTTGAGACAAGGTCTGGCTCTGTCACCTAGGCTGGAATGCAGTGGTGCGAGGCTCACTGCAACCTCCGCCTCCCAGGTTCAATGGATTCTCCTGCCTCAGCCTCCCGAGTAGCTGAGATTACAGGCATGTGCCACCACGCCCAACTAATTTCTGTATGTCTAGTAGTGACAGGGTTTTGCCTTGGTGCCCAGGCTGGTCTCGAACTCCTGGCCTCAAGTGATCTGCCCATCTCAGCCACTCTAAGTGCTGAGATTACAGGTGTGAGGCACCATATCGCACCAGATTTGGCAGATTCTGACTGGCTAATTTTTATACCTTGACAGGCACTAACCACTAAGACCTGAGTCATCATATACTTAAAAATAAATATCTACATTTAAATTTCCTTTTTGAATTGGTTATTAGGAAAATGTCCATCTCCTTAGGCAAAACTTCCTACTTTCTGTCTACAAATAAAGAGAACCATGTACTCCACATTCCCCTTTTCACCTTATGTGCCAAGAAATTCAAAGCTAAATTCAGAGTTCAACTACAGTAATTAACTTGCCTCAGGTGCTTCTAATAGCTACTAACAGTCAAGGTACAGCTCCTTTTACTGGTTTCCAACCTGCTTTAACTTGTACTTATCTGTTTTACGTTACCCATAAATGTAGTGAGCTTTCTCACATTCTGCTTTTTGTATTTTATGGGATATAAATCATAAATAAATAAAAATACCCAGGTGTGCATTTTTCTCACATTCAAAGGTTTTAACATTTGGCTCCACAAAAGAGCAGCTCAGCAAGAAATCATGCATGTCTTTCCCTAACTGAGATCAGCATCTCAACTCCCAAGGCTGAAGGGGCCCCTGGGTCTAACTGAGCTCCAGCCTCCAGGGAAGAAGGGCTACCATACACCTCAGGCACACAGGGGCTCTGAACACTGGAATTCCCATCGAGCTTTCAACATGGTGGTGTTACCTTTAAGAACTGCCACTGCCTTGCTTTGCTACCACCTCAGAATACTTTGCTGTGAAAAGCAGCTCAGGTGCTTTATGGTGGCAGGATTAACGCTGTTACTATTATGATGGAGCTTGTGCCAAAACGTTTCAGATTTTTTTTTTTTTTTTGAGATGGAGTTCTGCTCTTGTTGCACAGGCTGGAGTGCAGTGGCGCGATCTCGGCTCACTGCAACCACTGCCTCCTGGGTTCAAGCGACTCTCCTGCCTCAGCCTCCTGAGTAGCTAGGATTACAGGCAGGCACCACCGTGCCCAGCTAATTTTTTTGTATTTTTAGTAGAGACAGGGTTTCTCCATGTTGGTCAGGCTGGTCTCGAACTCCCATTCTCAGGTGATCCGCCCACCTTGGCCTCCCAAAGTGCTGGGATTACAGGCGTAAGCCACCGGCCTGGCCCAGCATTTTTTTAAAAAGTAAAAACATGCATGTGGTAAAGAGGGGGGAAAAATAAAACTATAAAATGGGCATGAACCCAAAAATTTGCCAGCCTCCCTAAGGGTAACCAACGTTATCCCTTTCTCAAGTATCCTTTCAGAGACATTCAGCACTTAGGCATTCAAGCATTCCAATTCCTCCTTTATCACACAAATAGTAGCACATTATATTAATTTGTCTAAAACCTGGCATTAAACATATATACCTAGGCATCTTAGAACTCATATAGTACTAATATGGAATTTCAGTATTATAAAGTACAGCCATTTAAAATAATGAACAGCCACACTTTCTAGTGGCTGCGCATACTGTTCTATGGCACAGATACACCATAATTTAATACACGCTCTACTGATGAATATCTACGATGCTTCCCAATGATGCTGCAGTAAGTTTATGTTGAGCAGAAAAGGTGTATTCAAAATTATTATTTTTCTTTCTTTCAACTTTAAATTCCCAGCTTTGAAAAAGAATCTTCATGTGCTATAAATACACTGTGAGCTAATGTTGTACTAGTTGATTTTGATTAATCAAGTTGTTCTGAAAGACTAGTAAATAATCAAATGTAGTCTAGCAAGCTGGGTGTGGTAGAACACCTGTAGTCCCAATTACTCGGGAGGCTGAGGCAGGAGGCTTGCTTAAGCCCAGGAGTTTGAGACCAACCTGGGCAACATAGCAAGACCCTATCTCTAAGCAGGGGGGAAAGCAGTCTAGTGGTTTTGGTGTACAGAGTGGACTATGGAAGAGAACACAGTGAAATAAGCCATTGTGTGTGGGGGATGGGGGGGCCACTGGGAGAGTAAATAGATTTTTAAAAACTGTCAACCTTAACTTAAAACATACAAAATAATCTGTCAATATATATAATTTTAAAATGTTAACTAAGTTTAGAATGGTATTATTCACCATGATGTTAGTAAAACTGCTGAATACGTTCACAACTGTTACGGTTCTGTCTGTGTGAGGTTCCACGCTTAAGTAATGCTGGTGAAGGCAGCTGTCCCACAGCAGCGGCACACCTAGCAGATCTGACACATTTTTAAGACTCCCTACCCTTATTTGACAAATGATTTTCAATAATAACCAGCACTCTACTTCAGCTTTTTAAAATTTTAAACATAAAAATTCCAAAAGCAGAAACAGAGACTGAGGGAAGGGAAAAAAAAGTTCTGTTTCCTCATCTTCATAATCATTCTACTATTGTTGCTCATTGACAAATCTGTTTAACTACTGGAACAAGTAGCACCATGGGGACTGTGGACTCAGACTGCACCCGAAATGAGTACAAGGCTGGGTCTGCATGTGTTACTAAAGGAGAATTAATATAACGGATAATATGTATGGTAATTTGAAGCATATAGATGTTTTATATATAAAATAAAAATTCACCATTATATATGTTGTATACGTACATATATAAAAAATAAAAATTCAGCTGGGTACCGTGGTTCACACCTACAATCCCAGCACTTTCAGAGGTTGAGGCAGTAGGATCGCTTGAGCCCAGGAGTTCAAGACCAGCCTGGGCAACATAGGGAGATGCCATCTCTACAAATAATTTTTTTTTTTTTTTAATTAGTCGGGCATGGTGGCATGTGCTGG